GGGATCCGCGCGCCGTCAAAGAAATTCGCGCCGAAAATTAAAAAGGGAGCCGCTGCGAAAATTTGTATTCTCTCGGTTCCCCGACTAACCCGATTTACTCCCGCGAAGCATGGCCTGGGTCCCGCTCGATTCCCATCGCGCGACCGGTAGAAAGAATCCGCCCGGCGCAAAAAAGGACCGCTTTAATTCCGGCGGGCGAGCGAGCGCGGGAACGAAAGATTCGCTGAAATGTCGCCGAGGGCGGGCACAAAAGCGACCGGGGGCGAAGGACGCGAGAGCCGGGTTGTTCGACGAATACGGAATCGCGTTTATTGTACCCGTAACTCAGCGCAATTACACGTAACAGAAAGTCGTTAGCCGACGGGCACGGGATCGCCGACGGAACCAGCACGGCTGCCGCTCCGTTCGAGGCTCTTCCGCGCGCGCGCCTGCATTAGAAATTCCGCGCAGATCCCCGGATAGGCGACCGGCGACGAGTATGTAAATACATGTACACACGGATGCGGGAAAATTGAGCGGATGTGAGTAAATGATGGTACGTGACGCCGATCTCAGACCGCCTGGAGACACTGGAACCTTACGAGGCCAGATCTTGGCGTACACTGAAGAAAAGTGACGCTCGAGTGACAGTCATGGTAATACGGTGCCACGAAATGTCGCTGGTGACACTTTCCCACATGATTTTGATTTATCCTGGGTCTAATAGGCAACTGCCTTAGTTTTCGAGACATCGCGAGAGGATTCGAACTTCGAGTTTTAAACATTGTTACTTAGGGGCGTACGAAAGCTTTGTTTGAAATAGGGTTTAGTATTGTCTTATGTGTGAATGTGATTGATGAAGAGATTTTTAAACGATTATAGTTTCTGCTTTTAGTAGATTGTGAATATTTATAGTTTGTTTCGCATTCTTAAAATACTCGGCATCGAACGGGCGCCATTTTCTGTAAACGGAGATATGCTGATTGCTTCGAGTTTATTGGAATACCAATGAACATCGATTGAAAGGAAGAAACAAGACGAGTAACAATCTTTGACTGCCATTTCCCGGGTGTAAAATTAACTTGCTGATTGGGACTGTCTTATCGCAGACTTCTATTTTCTCGTTGAACATAACCTCAAAGTCCGTTGCGCTACGGTTGATGAATCTTAACGAGGATGCGGACAGAATCTTATCCGGCAAATGGTTTAAAACGAAGTTAAAAGATGAATTGATTTTCTAAAAAAAGGAAATGCTCCTTTCTAAGCCGTGCTATCGATAAAAAGAAGCGTTCCAAATAGGCGTCTCGTTCGCTGAATATTTATCAGAGGGAAACATGGCTGCTCGAGGAACAGCAAATTCCGAGCGTTCTCATGAGAGAGTCAAAATGGAAGTCGAGTCCTGACGAAGCCACCGGGCGAAATTTCCTTCAATGGAATTTCATAATAACCGTACAGCTTTTATCGTTGTTTTCGACGCCGGTTGCAAAGACAGACAGAACTCGAACGAGTTAATCCCGTCGACCCTTTTACAAGCCGATTCGAGAAAGTTTCGTCGTTCTTGCGATCCACCGTTGATCCCCGAGCACTTTGTATTTCGTGAAATTGAATTCGCTCGCGGGGAGTTCCGCGAATTTCTTTCGTCGACGGGATAACGTGCCTTTTCGGTCGTGCCGGTGATGTCGTTACAAAGAAATCCGCGATATTCGATATTTGAACGGAATCATCGCTGCACAAAAGGGAATTACCCCAATTTTCTTCTATCAGGTGGTTCAACGTTTGCATTAATCCTTGAAACCGTATTTACTCTTTTGTTCGACGGATTCACGTTATAAAACATGCAGGATAAGTTATAAAATTGGTTTTAATATTTATTTTCAGTTTCAGAATAACGAAATGTATCTAACAAGCTTTACATAATTTCAAATTTCTTCTACGCAAGATTTACCTGTATATTGCGATCTACTATCGGCGACACTTTATACAATTTTATTTACAGCTGCATGTTGTTTACATGTATGAATAAAATTTCTTGTTTTTCGAATAATGAATATTGTTTGTTTCATGCGCACGCGGAGCAGAACAACCTCACCTGCATAAAGGTAAGCGGTCTCGCAAATTTTCATTGTGGATCGCGATCCCCGCGTTACTGACTGTAAACTCCAGATATACATATTAATATTGAATCATTCCCACAATAACGATCGATTATTTATGTTTATGCAATTACAATGCTTCGAAAATGTCTTCATGATTCGGACGGTAGACGGAATGAAAACAGTGTTCGTTTTATTTATCCTGCTCACAATCAATTTCGTTGGTTTGGGAACACGAATGAAACGATGGAAAATATTCTGCAAATTTAATTTAAATACTTTTATCATTCTTTTGAAAACTTTCTGTTACGGAAATTGATCTCGAATACAAGCATCGAAGAATTATTATTATAAATCGTATAGATAAATATCGTTTGAAAAATTTAAGATACTTCGTCATTAAAACGATCATAAACAAATGTGGTCGATCATTTATAAATAACATCGTAATTTATAAGAAACGTTTCATCCAACCCTTTTATAAACCTGCACGATTAATTTCAGTTACATGAATTTATCAACGTGACAAGCGCATTTGCATTTGCAACGCAATTTTCCAGCGAAACGCTTCCAAACATTCGATCGGCGGTGAAAAATATTTTCCATTTGCATTTTTCAATGTTGATGCAGTTTATCAAACTGTTCGTTATTCTTTTAAAATAAAAGTTACTCTCACATTACAGCTAGCCGCGTTGAGATCGTATCTGTAAAGCACGTCAACGCAACATCTACGATTAATGAGCAGATAAATGTAACGCGGAGTGTCTTTTCCGAAGCAGTCCATTACGGTTGAATTATTATTATCGTGGTCTGATCGTAGATGTCAAACAGCTCGGCCGTGAAAACCACGCGAGCGTGTAGGTAGTACACGCGAACGCGAAAAGTCACGCCCGCGCGATATTACACAATGCGAGGACCGCCGCGTGTTTCCGGCTAGTGTTCAGCCTGAATGCAGTTAATAGGATGACATAAAATCGTCCGCGTAAGAGCGGCGGCGCGGTCGAAAACCCCGCGGAACTGAAGTTTATCGGTTTAATATTCGAAATTTGAAAGGGCACCGAAAATCGGTTATTCGAGAAACGAACGCGTGCGCTTTTTTCGAAATTAATCTGGACGGCAGCCCTTTCGCGTGAAATAATCATGTCTTTTTCATGTAATACTCATTTTCAAAAATGTGAAACACGAACTGATTACTAGATTATTAATAATAGGTTTCACTAGAGAAATTTGCAAAACGAATCCCTTATACAAGTTTCCTGCTTAATTATATCCGTTGGATCGAATTAAAATAGATATTCATATTTCTTCTTAACATGAATAATCTTCCATAACTTTCAAAGTAGTTTTGATACTCTTTCAATCCTTGTATTAAAATCTGTTTGCAGCCGAATTCATTGAAGTTACAATATCTACGAATCTACGTTCATTGTACTCCACACCTATTCTAAATATAAATCATTCAAAACAGAAGAATATTGTTCTACGAGAAAAAATGATTAAAATCAGTATCGCTCGTAAAACTAAACACCTTTGAACTAATACAAATTACACCAAGAAAAAGGAATATCCGACGAATGGGTAATTTCAAAATTATCCAAGCACAGTGTTAAGTGGTTCACTCCAACTCCGATCTTCCGTCTAAAAGAACAACTCGCTATCAAGATCGTCTCACGCGTATTCCCGGTGGACAATAATTTCCCGTCGAATCACGGCAATCCCTCTCGAAGAGCGGAATTAAAATGGCATAAAACTGCGGACCGCTGGAAAGAGTCTGCCGCTTGAATACAAACGGTTCCCGTGGAAAGTCTGCGAACAGCTTCGGCGGATTAACTAGGTCTTTTAATTTCGCGGGACGGGGAATTGGACTAGCAATCCCGCGCGGCAATGTGATCGCGAGTCAGAAACTCGATTGCTTTTTCGGGGTAAATAGCTGCGATAGAACCGGCCGTCGTAAAAATCTCTGTAAGGATATTGGTTGACCGGAATGGAGGACCGCGGCAGTCCAGCTCTGTGCACACGCGAGACGCCGCGCCGGACGGTTTTGTCCGGTCGAATTTGCGCGCGAAATATACACGGCGGCGTCGCACAGTGCGGCCAAACGGCGGTTTTCTGGACAAAACTTAATAACTTCAAAAGTATGAGTGATGCAAGAAAATGCTTCTGATAAAAGTTGTAAGATACATAGCCAAACATATGGTAGTTACATTTTGTTTATATTATAGGGATATGACGTTTTTTAAATGACAATGATTATTTTCCGTTTCGATTCCAATGTTATATAACTGGAGAAACAGAATTTATTTTTACGAAATTATGTGAAATCAGATCTGCATGATGCGGAGAATATTTTCCACTGTTGAAAGTCTGTATAAATATATTTAACAATGAACACTAGATACAAATAGTGTACGAATACGTGGTAAACCCAGAATATCTATAGGGCATTCTTTGAGCGTCCTAAACAGTGGTTGTTCATTAATTTTTGAAATGAATATCATTTTGCAGCAAAGACTGCTCAGCAACAGATTGGTAACCTTCAATTGGCATTATGCGAGTAGTCAAATTTTCGAGTTTTGTCCACAGCCGGCAGCACTTTGCGTCGATTCGCCGTGGAATCGCGGAGGCGCGCGCCGATTCGCTTTTACCCCTGGAATATTTCGCGCGAGCGCGCGCCGGGATCGGCGAAATCGTTCGATCACACGCCGCGATACGGATTCCTTTTTACGAGCTAGAATACCATCGTTCCCCGCCCGGCCCGTTCATAAACGGCAATCCCGCGCAGTAACAGGCGAATTCTCGCTCGAATCGATTCGCTTTAAACGCGCTCGTGAGCTGATTTACATCGGCGCCGGTCGTTGCGCGAATTTGTCGTGAATTTGTATGCCTTACTGCGCCCCATCCCTCCACGTTTCTAGGTTATGTAACTACTCTCCTCTGACGACGTCTGCTCACATGCCCAACGAACTGAAGGGGCAAGTGCGGCAAGGGGACACCACTACTCGCGTTGAACGTCTTTGTTATTGGCTGAGTCGCGTAAATAAGGTCGCAAATGAAACAGAATACGACGAAGTGAGACACAAATTCTATACGTCCCCCACGTCAGCTCCATCATCAAGCTGAAAGAGTACAAAGGCAAGGAGACTTTTTTCTCGCGATACTCAAATCCCCTCAGCTTCTGACGCACAGTCATTATTGGCGCACGGCAATAACAAAGGATGCAAGCGAGATCGAATGCGATGAAGCGAGACAACGATAAAAAACAAAATTCTCTATAGTACCGTCTTACTCTGTCGCATTCGCTCGCTTCCGTCCTTTGTTATTGCAGCGCGTCAATGACCATTGGCCCCCTTGGAAGAGTCCCCTTGGCCCTCTACACTTTTAGCTGGATGGTCGATGGAACTAACGTACGCATTTCCTATCGTTGTATCTCGATTTGTCGTATTCTGTTTCATTTGCGACCTTCGTTACTTCTGTTCGTCGCAAATGAAACAAATCGCAACGAAGATCGTAACGAAGATTTCAAATGAAACAGAATACGACAAAGTGAGATACAGCGGTAGGGAATGAATATTGGCGTCGATTCCTTATTTATATCTCACTTGTTCGTATTCTGTTTCATTTGTGATCTTCGTTCACGGGGATCAGCCAATAAACGATCGAAACCGTGTCCCCTTGCTGCACTCACACCTTCAGTTCGTTGGACACATAAACAGACGTTGTTTAACACTTTGACTGCCACGGTGGTCACCGATGACCGGAGCTTTCAAATTACAAGAAAATAATTATTACTTGAAAGGTAATTGATTTCGTAAATAACTGTACAATAAGGGTAATATAAGGATTTTCATATCAAAGAATTAACAGTCCTTGGTTTGTACCTTCGCTATAGAAAGGATAAGTGACACGTAAAACGCTGATGTTTTTCGTGGCAGTAAACGTGTTAAAGACAGTACACACGATTATCGTTCGCACTGCATCCTCCTTTTGTACGTAATTTCAGACTGAGACGTCGCTGATGTACGACGCCGTACACTTGTTCGCCAAAGCGCTCCACGACCTCGACACCTCGCAGCAGATCGACATCAACCCACTCTCCTGCGAGTCCACCGACACGTGGCCTCACGGGTACTCGCTGATCAATTATATGAAAATCGTGAGTATTTCCGTTTGTTTTAAATCCTACGAACACGAGTGACGCGATTTCGCTGTATTTACCACAGCGATCGTTCTGGAGTAACAGAGAAACAAAGTGTTTCCGTCTTAAAAAAGGATAAGAGAATTTTGTGTCTTTGTTTCCTCAAAATCGCACATTCGCTCGTGTGCATAGGACCTTAGCGTGGATCGTGTTGTTGCTCATTTGTTGAAGTGACTTATTTTGTTTTTCGAATGTTTCGAGATTCTCGCGAGGAAATACTCGGTTGGTTCTTTATTAGGTAATAGTTTTATGAAACTATTGTGCTTTTTGTTTTGGAGTGAAATTGGAGTTGAACACTTTGGCGAAGCAAGTATTTTAATATTCTTAATGAATTTGTTATTGGTTATTTTGTTTTATATTCTCAAAACAGGGAAATCTGTTTATTTGATTTACTTCGAGGATATGAAATGTTTAGTAATTGATAATTTTGGAAAAAGTGCTGAAGTAGAAATCGGAAAGTAACGTGCGCTTCATAGAGGCTGTAATTCTACACGTAACAACGTTTTTCCTGCTCGAGAAGAGATCATCTAATTTCCTCAGATTGTATTCTCCCGTGAAATCCGGCGAATTGTTCTCCGATCAGTAATGCAGCGAAGCCGATTGAAATCATTTGAAAAATCGTTTTCCAAGAGCGACGTGGAAACGCGGAGTCTACTGAGCCACGGACAAAAGAAACTAATTCTGTCAGACCCTTAATTCCATCGCAATGTCGTTTGGGACGCTGCAATTGGAAACGATGCGGATGATCGGGAAACGATGTTTGCGTGACGATGACATCGCAGCCTCGTCGTTCCGACAGGACAAAACGGTCTGTAACGTGATTGCCGAACGGAAAAAAGAGAACCGTTGCGATGGGAAGTGGAAAATTAAGTTATCAGATTAACATCGTAGTTTTCGAACCGGCGGCCATTTTTCCGCTTGGTCCCGGAGAGCTTTGTGAAAGCACTCTTGAAACCACGATATCGTGCCGCGGTATTGGAAAGCATTTAAATTTTCATCGCTGGCTGCCTTTGGTGCAATACCACCACCTTCCGCTAATCCGTAATCGATGTTTCGAAAAAATTGATTCGAATTAAGACAATTAAGAATATTCATCAATTAAATACTCGGGAAAAGGATCTTTATTAAAATATGTGCAATATATTTTGAAATCATTATCTCGATGCCACTTGCTAAGCGATTACCAATGATAGTTATGATTAGGATTGGATTTATTATTGATAGAAAGTTCTATTGACAAAACGAATGTTCCGATGAACTAAATAGATTAACAATCAAGCGAACCAGATTGAAAAATAATATAAAAACACCTGTTGAAGTTACAATACGTTTTTCAAGTATATTGCGAATAATAATGATTAGACTGTAGATCCTTATATAAATTCAACTATTTCAGGAAATAATTAGAAAAATAAAACTACAACAGGAAATAGCTTTCCGTAACAAATATTACGAAACAGCACTATACTCGAGATATTTTATACATTCTTTCGTATAAAGTGCATTTCGCAAAATTTGTCGCATTCGAATTTCCTATACACGAATTAAAATCCACAGCCCAATAATTATCGTACAATAAAGACATGGAGAATACTAAAGATACACGTGTTTCTCGCGCGATCGATCATCGAAGTGGTAAAACGAACTAGCACGGGTCGCAGGCCAATATCCTTCGCTGTCACAATCAACCGTTAGTACACGATTCGGTAGCTTCCGCGCGAGGGCGACTTGAAACGTTCAAGTAATCGCCGTGGCCGTCCGAAACAAGCCGCGGACGCAATATGAACTGCATGTTTGCTGGTCGACATGCTCGGCGTAATTACACGTGATATTCCTGGTGACTGGTACTAATCAATGAGTCACGAACGGCACACCGATTATGCTAGCCGCCCGGCGCGGCCGAATTCATCTGGGCGGAACACGATCGCCGCGACCGATTCGTTCGCACGCGGTTCCGGTCGGTTTACAACGACGCGCGACGACGTACAGTGGTCTCTTTTGATGAAAAGCTGGCCAAAATTCATAATTTCATAGGATTTTCATAAAAATCGGTCTTCCGAGTTGCTAAATCTGAATATTTTCTCGGAAATGCAAAATACAAAATGGCGCATCTAACATCACTGATATAGAGTTAATTTGGAAATATTTTTGGAACGATTTTTTTAGTTTTAACAAAATCATTCAACTAAGCACTCTGAATCGAAGGTTTGTCAAGTTAGAATTTCGAAAATAGTGTTAAGTAAGGTTGTATTAACGATTTAGATCAATTTCCTTCTTTGATATTCAATTGTTACAAATATATTAACCTTGCTAGTGCCAGAGATATCGTTAATATGATTTAATGGAATAAACTATATATACTCCTCATTAGCACTTTAAACTGAGAGAAAAAAGAAATTTTCCTTGACACATTAAAGGGCCTCTAATTTTCGAGACACCAAGAAACTTGAAGTTTCGCCAACGTCGACGGTCTGTATTTCAATAACCAGTCTATATATTTAAAAATTTTAAGCGATATTAGATGCACCGAAGTGTATGCAGTAAATATGATTACATCACAAAACTGTTGCAACATACTTCGAAAATTGACCGACTTCTCGTCGGAAGGCACCGCTGTGTGCAACGTAATTTTCGAAAATTCTCGGGAAAATTTCGGGCCTGCCGAGCGGAAAAATATTTCGGCGGGTTCCCGGGTCGACGGGAATTGTCATGTAACCGGCGCGCTTCGGGCCGATACCGCGATAAATTCGTCGCGGCGCGCGTCGCCCGTCAAACGGCAACCGGCGCGAGAAAATTGGCGAGCCCGGCCATTACCGGCATAATTACTGGGTCAGCTTTGATGCGTCGACCGAATTTTCGGCGACAAATTGCGCCGGCCGATGTTCCAACCCTCCCCACCTTCGTCCCTGTTCTCGGTTACGCGACGTAATTAGCAAAATTGAAGGCGTCGTTGACCCGTCGCAATCCGAAAGCCATTTTTCTCGTATATGCATACTATAGCCGGCAAACATTATTATTACGACGGCGAGCGAGCAAACGAGCGAGCAGGCACTCGCGCGCAAGCGCGTGCCGAAATCTCGCAACCGGTTCTCTATCGTTTGATCGATAATAACGCTCGGCACATCGTTAGCACGGACAAATAT